CAACCAGTCTTAGGACTGACGACCTTATAATGACCCTTCTAAATCTAACGAGCTTGAAATTTGGATCACTGAACTGACACTTGCTATTACCACTTCTTCTGGTTGGATGTCTAATGACGAATGATGATGACAATAACTAATATGGCCCTAATACTCTAAATATTTATTATAAAACTGAAAAAAAATCCTTTCCTATACTATCTGACAGTTTTTTTATAATTAGTCATGCTCCAAATTTCAATCGGAATTACGGTCAACCAAAAAGTGTCAAACTGACTGGTAAATAGAATTAATTATTTTTAATTTTGTACACCTTAACAAAAAAAAAAAGTCCACCTCAAAAAGATTCGAGATATAAATATATTGTGACGCAATTAATGTACCGTGAAATAATGAAATTAACGTGAAAGTTTAAGTGCCTAAAGAATTTCATTAGCTGGAAGCGCTGAAATTAAAAAAAAAATTAAGAGAAAGCTTATGTTTATTGATTTTATAATGAGGCCGTAATGATGAATAGGTTTATGAAGGTACATTTATGAAAAGACAGCTATGCATATAAACTAATAATTAATATTAGACGTACCTACCTAAGAATATACATATAAATAATTACTACTGAGTCGTCAGTTCGAGACAAACATTTTCACTCCTTCCTGTTCTAAATCAATCTTCGCATTTCCCTAAAACTTAAAGATTCCATATGCTTATTTGAAAATAATAATCTAATAAGGCTCATGCTTTGTCTTCCCCCTCATTCTGTTTCTGCTTCTAATGTCTTAACTAATATATCATGCCTCAGAAGAAATCCTACCATCCCATTTCCCTTTTCCTTATCAGAGATCGTGGAAGTACTCCGTGATAAAGACTTCACTAAACACCCTCTCCCCTTTTTCTATCTAATCCGGCAAATTTACTACAGTTATAAAAAAATATTACTGTAACTTTTACCTTCTACAGTAAAAATTCCTGCAAAAGGTCTTTGTGTGAGAACATGGTGTACATCACATTTCTCTGTTAGTCTCTGACGTCCGCTATTTTGCAGCAACTTCTCCGCGCTAGCTTTTGCTGATATTTTGCGCTTAGTAAAATTAGATTACAGTAGTCATTTCTGAAATTTCTTTTGGTTTTAGCAATCTGCTTTCGTTCGTAAGTTTAAAGCTTTTGTTTTCGCATAGAAAAACAACATCAGAGTAGTTTAATGTCTTCATTATTTTTATCGTGATCAACAGCAACACTTACGAGACTGACCATCATGTTTCTATAATAACAAAGTGAAAAACTTATTTAAAACCTTATTTTTCCAAAAGTATTCTGCTTCAAATTCTCATATTCCCTTTGACGATTTTTTTCACACACGCTTTTTTTTAAAGTCCTTCGTGAACTAATACTTTGATTTGGGGGGGGGGGGCTGTCCCATTTCCATAACTGTTCCTTGTAGATTTCTACGACACTTTTTCCATCCACAACCCCCTATAACACAGCATATTTCAAACGCTTTATACTTTTTGTTTCCATTTAGTTTCAGAAAAGAAAAAGATTTATACATTCTCAGCAAAAACCAGTAGCTGATAATCCCTGTTTATTCCTTAGATCGACGTAATTAAATGATAAAATGTTTTTTGTAGGTGCCGGGGTGTTTTTACGCATTACGGTCCCACATTATCTAGAAATTGTTTGAAACAGTTCACAATTCCAATTTGAAAAACGAGCGAGTCCTCGTATCCCCCGAGGAAATATTCGCAAAAATAAAACCCTCAATATTAATGAATCCGTCGATGCAATTATCTGATAATACCTCCCGTCCTCTTCTAACTTATTACGTAAGTCCATCAACCTCAAACTACGGAGCACTTAATGTAAATTGCTAAAAGCTAAAAAGTTCCTCGCAACTTTCCTCATAACATTAATCTTCAGTTTAGAAACTTCAATCTGCAGCTTTGTGCCATGGCGAGGTGGAGCTTCTTGCCTCACAGCAGCAAGGCAACCCTTCTTTTCGTCCTTTCTCCCCCGTCCCTAACCGTTTTACATTTTTAAAAGGGACCAACAACTTTGGAACGCGTCAATCCTGTTTATGAACTTCCTTAATTATTATTATTATAGTCCGTGAAACATCCTGATAAACATTCTCGATAATCCCTCGCAACTAATTTAAAAACTTTACTAACTAAATAAGACTGGTCGGTAATAACAGTGAACTATCTACCTACTGTTTTAACTCGTAAGGGGCTTATCTTCTATTACAATACCTGACTGCCCCCTCTTCATTTTAACTCGCCATCAAGACAACTTCGAAAGACTTAACCATAAAAATATCTTGTTCAAAGATCTAATTAAAATTCCTTTGCACTCATTGGAACAATATAAAAAGCTTGATATCTACACACGCATTTAGTATACGAATAGTGTGATCATCAAATACATTACTTCAAATTGTAGCTACGTAATTTACATAGAATTTTACACTTAACATTTTTTCAAATTTTTATAAAATAAATGGTTAGAAAATGATCTATTAAAATTACAAGTGAATTAACAACTGCCTGGGGAATTTACTTATGTAGAACAGTTTTGTGACTTTTTCGGTGACAAACATCTTTTATCATACAGGAACCAGGAACAGGAACTAGTAGCCTATTTGCGTTAGGATTGTAGGTCATATCTTCGTTCATGTGGATTACATATTAACGTTGGCGCTAGCCCTACGTAAATCCAGACCTAATTCTTAATCTACATAATATATGCCTTCAATTTCTTCCAAATTATTCTTTAGGTTACGATTTACGCCCTTAGTATAGAGGATTTTAAAACATAGCAAATAGCGAATGAAAGAAAAGCAACTTAAAAAGCAAAAATATTGCTTGGGTTTACCCTAGTTATCGATTATAAGAATATCGTCAGTCATCATACACGAACGGATGAGACTTAAGTAGGTAGCAAAAACAAACGATCGCATCGTAACATATATGAAGAAGTACGTTACTATTACGATGAAATGCTATTAGAAAACTACCACCATCTACTTAGTAAAAAAATTAAAAGTTAAACATAAAACAACTGACACCTTTCTTAATGAACATCATTAACTTAATGCAAAACATTCAACGAATACTAACCGACACTAGTGCGAGAACAAAACCAAGATTAAAAGTGCAAAAGACTCCTGGTCTTTTCCTCATCACCACTAAACTATGATAACATAAAAAGAGACGTAAATGTTATATTAATTTTAACTCATTTTGGTATCCTCTTCGTGCCGACCATATTTTAATATTTCAATTATTTTGATCAATACCTGAATGATGGAATAAACAAACTGTTGAACGCTTGAGCAGCTTGTGATAACGACTATTTTTCTCTATAACAAATATGTTTAATAAAAATTAACTAGGACATTACATTGTACCTATGTAGTTTATAAGTGGCATTTTCCTAAACTGTACTTTGATCTGTAGATACACATCTTATCTCACGGATGTCCAATATTTGTTGTAGAAACTAATTAAAGCTAATATCATAAGCACTTTTAACGTAACATTTTCAGATTCTCACGCATCGTATCGTATGAAATAATTAAGGCATTTATTAATTACTAACGTTTTACATTTAAAAAATAAGCGTACATTTGATAAACAAGAATAAAGCCCATGCAATTAATATGAGTAGGTATTATCAAAACGGAGAAACAGTTAGATATATAAAATTCAATTAATATTCTATGGGTTTACTGAAATTGAACGCAATGGGCACCAGTTCTTCACCATGCCGTAAAAATGCAAACAAATAACGGTATATATTAATTGGTAATTGGTAGTTTTTTTATAAGTACGTACAAACATCGCTACCAAGGCAAATTTTATTCTCGGAAATGTAATTAAACTGAAAGCTTCAAAAGAATAAAGAGAAAAACAAAAGTAAAATAGAGAAAATTGAAAATCACAAAGAGCATGTTTAGTAAGTTTCATGCATATTAATAACTATTCAGAATCAGCAAAATCACGTCCACTCTTCCCTACACTCGTCTAATATTTGGATTTTAGCGAAGGGTAGCTCATCCCTTTATCATCCAACTAACTACTGGACTGTCAAATTAAAATGCAAATTAGAGACGCTATGTTTATTCAGCTTTTAATTGATATTTATTTTTGTCTGTTTGATTACAGTTCACCATTTTCGCTTATTTCAGTTAAAAATTGATGATTTTCAAATTTATCGACGTTTGTTATAAAAATTAAGTGCGATGGTAGGTACTTAAGCAATTTGCATCTTGTATGATAATTATTCATAACAATGGACAAAAATCCATTTAACTTACTATAGAATATGATTCATAATGCTACAGTACTCAAGCCCCAGTCATTGGAGATAAGGTATTATCTGTGATATGATTAACCATACATATGGTAAATGACGTGGTAAATCTTAGGAAGTAACTTAATAAATGTTCATTATCCTTTATTTTTCTCAGCAACGCAAATATCATGTATTTAAAGATCTAGTTACCGGGACAAAACGAGGGACACCTTATAATTTCTTACACCCCGCTTCAATCCAGCTAATCAACCAGAAGATTCGCAAAAAAGTATTCGTCAACGAAAATTACTTTCAAATGCTCAGTAGAGAAATTGCAAAGCTTTATTTGGGGGCCTTCATAATCCTTAGGAAAGATTCTCAGGTACTGCTTCCTATTACCTACGTATGTTGAGAAAGCTTCAGGGGCATTAAATTAGTTGGGCAATATGATGTCATAGTGAGACACTCTCAGCTGTTAGTCACAGACCAGAGTTTCATTTTTAAATCATGGGCTATTTTTATAACTGAGACTGTAAAAATAGAAGTTGAAAGTAGTGATCTATAAGTAGCTGATACTCCTTGGAACTGGACTATCATTAGACTCCTTGGAACCGGACTATCAATCTATCATTGGAAAAACTATAAAAGACGTAACAGGATTCCACGGTCCCTGGACATATGTACATAGGTAAGCAAAACATTTCTCGTACCTTGTACAAGTACTGGTCGAACATCCTGGTGACGTCCACGTCGTTCCCGACGCAATAGGTTGCCTCCATAGTATCGCAAGAGCCGATCAGGGTGTTGATGGAAGCCACGATCGGCCTTAGATGTTCCAGCGCTGCCAGGGGTGTAGTTCGTCGTCCACCGAAAGAATAACAATTGCCCTCTTCCCTCTTACTATTAAATTCGCGGAAAAGAGATCGGGCGCCTCTCCGTCGTTAAAGCACAAAAGCTGGCACACACTCACACGACCCACGACGACGGCGAAGACGAAGACGGCCACTGAACCCGACTTGTGCACTGTTATTATTACTTTACTTACTTCAGAGACGATTGGTCTCTGTAATGTTAATGATGTTATTTACCTTCTCGAATAGCTGAGATGGAATGGTTGTTGTTGCTGTCGCGTGTTGACTCTCTGTCAGCATGTTTCCGTACGCGCGCGTGATATGGATGTTCGCGCGACAGACGCACGGAAGCAAATGGCGCGCGGTCGGTGCACGGACCCCTCCTACCTCCTCTCGCACGCCACACCGCCCCGCTGCGCGCATTTGCTTTAAAACGCGTCGGGCCCGCGTCGATTTAAATCTCAAAAAATCCATGAAAACGAATAAATAATGCCCCGCTCGTCCTCCTCCACCCCCTCGGCTGTATGTACCTCCTCGTTCCTCCATTCGTTCCTCCGCGATATAATATTACCGCTGTTTCTGTTGCCCTCCGATGGGGTGCTGGCGGTGACCCAAGCCATCTCCGCCGTGGGAGGGATGCATAATTATTATTAAATTGTTGTTGGAACAACAACCATTATACTACCTAATAACAGTCGGGAGGAAATTCAGGAAATACTGTTATGTTAGCAAGGATTTCTTTATCCTTGGAGGAAGCGTTCTGCTAGCTTGACTGGAACACGCAGGAAATGAGCTTCTCTTCGAAAAACAGTGATAACGATAACCCAACGGGTTTTGCCGTTCTCATACCAACAAAACTACCATTCTGTACAGATAATGTTATATGTACTTATACATAAGGAAGAAAATGCAATCAACTAATGGAGTGTTTTCCTATAAATCCAGGCTATCCTTTGAAAGACGACATTTTGCGTATCTTTGCCAGCAAACCGGGAAAAATCAGATTATATTTCTTCAATGGTCTATTTTCTACCTTCCAAAAGCTTTCCTCTGAAATGGACTACATTGTATCGGATCATTATCATTTAATGTCCAGGACAAATACTACAATGTTTATGAGGGTATCTTTACTGGAACACTCAAGATGTCATTTTTTTTTGTAATAGAAAATATAATCATCTAATGGAGTATTTTCCGCTAAATAAGGTTATCCTTTAAAGGACATAGCATTTCCTGAATCTTGTTTTTCTTCAAAGATCAATTTTCTACCTTCCAAAACTTCTCTTCTGAGATAAAATGTGACGATTTAGACCAGTCCTGCCCAGGAAAAACTTGTAGAGAGAAAAATATTTACATTTGGCATTGGCGCCCCTGTTTTGGTGCCAAAAAGTAAAAAATACTTTCACGTGTTACATACAATTTTTACGTAATGTGGGAACGTTGGTAGGTTATAAATCTTGCCTCCAGAACAATAAATGAACATGGATTTTACACCAACATTAACCGTATCCTTATCATCAATAAAAACAGGAAACTTTGTTGCTGAACAGTCATTAATGCGCAAACACAGTTTGACACCGAGGTGTTTAATTATTAACGAAGACATAATCAAGTCGGTTACCATAAAGAATGAATGTGAGATACGTGCTCCCTCTCTAATGAGGGAAAATGCACCCCATTTTAATTGCACTAGACAAACAACGTTTTAAAAATTAAAGCTGTAAACGTTTGCAAACGTCTTTTATTGTTTGAAACATAAACTAGCAGATGTTAGCAAATAAAGCAAGTGCACTTTTAGCAACATGTGTGCCATTGTTTGCTCGAGAGTGTACTCCCCTAAACATCTTGGATAAAAATAGAACGCACGCGTATTCCGAATGGTATCATTGTTTTTCCGTTCCGTTAACGATTCAATATAAACAATACGAACTACGTCACATTCTCTTTTTATTTGCCTCTTTTAACATTTTGGGTCTATTGTCTCTCTCAAAGCGAAAACTCGCTCTAGTTTTTTATATGAACGACAGAATTACTTCTGTTAAATGACATTTTTCTTACAACCCCTTAGAGCAATAGCAAGCGATATTATATCATCATAATCAACATCAGTCCGCATTAAGGATGAGGCGGGTACGCGGTTTAAATCCGACACTTTTCTTAGGGTCCGGCCGGGTACCGGATAATGACACTGGGTACTCGGCAGTGCTGGCTAATAGTACCGGAGAACCGAGCGGTATGGCCTAGAAGTTTAGACGATTGCTTAGCATTCGGGAGGACGCTGGTTCGATTCCGGGTCCGTCTGCCTTGGTCCAAGTTTTTCTGTGGTTTCCTTGGATCACTTAGGCAAATGCTGAGGCAGTAATATTCCACAATAGATAATCTTTCATTGTCTTCTGTCTTCATTTCGTCCGTCTGATCTTTCTCACCCGAACCACCACCCACCCATTCCCACGATTCCTGAAAGCAGGCTGATAAGGGCCTTCCGACCTACCTTCCGGCGTAGTCCGGAAGGACTGCCCGCCCACCAGCATTACTGGCTGGTGGGAATGAAACACCCAAAAGTTTTTTTTTTACTTTTAGTGTTTATAACGGTTTCAACCTCTCAACCCTCTCGTTGAAAATCAGCCAAAAAAGAATTAAAATTCTATTGGTTTAGTGTTTAAAGGACTTTTTGAATGGGGCTTAATCTGACTTGGGACGTTCATGAAGGTGGTATTTAAAGAACTGCCTGCCAGGACGAAAACATAAACCATCAACAGTTGTGATTTTGCAGGGTAACCGGTGAATCTCTACTGAAAATGACTGTTTGTTGAATCATTCGCCTGATTAAATAATAAATTATTGTTCTCCTATTTTACATTGACTGTGTCTTTTGAGAGCCATTCTACGCGCCCGCCGATGCCGTGAAAAGGAGTCTAGGTAGACACCAGGACGCGATTCCCGCTCCACGCAGCGCTGAACCCCTACACGGAGCGACAATCCACACACCGTGTAACATGGGCCTTACAATTCCTCTATGCCTTCAGTTGTCTCACGTTTACGATCTCAATAGATATATTACAATTATTTATACATAAAAAAATGCGTACCTATAGTCTGATACTCGAAAACATCTGATCGAAAAAAGTTTGTGCTTCCCATTCGTTTATTTGACAACATCATATCAATTTTAAGTTATTTCTTTTCAAATTTATCTCTCTGCCTAGCAAGTTTTTCAATGTTACCCTCGATAAGCAAACACAAGAATATTTTATAATGTATTCTTGCTTGGGAAACGTCCCTGTGGAAATCGCGTTCGAAATGAAAATACGAATAAATTTTAAACAGGAGTTCACAACGCACAGCGCCTCTAAAGCCTTTAGGCTTTAGGCAGCGTAATCTTTTGTCAGTTTACTTTGTTAGAGTCACATATGGACGTAGTTAACCGGTTCAACGAGTTACCTACCAGAAAACAAGTATAGGTAATATGATTTCATTCGTAAAGAACTGTTAAAATGCACTCAGCAGAGTGTAACAGACGGGACGAAGCACTTGGAATTATGAAATCATGCAAGCCTTCAATCGAATTAGATAACTTGTTAATTCATCCTGTTTCTTATTATTGTAAAAAACCACAAGGAAAATGTCCATAGTCAGTATTTTTTCGAAACTGTAAGACATAAATGGTAGAAAATACCACAAATGGCGCGATAAACGCCATCTGTAGTACGATGCTACATTTTAGGATTATGTATGCTCCAACAAGGTCCATTTAAATATATGACGTGCCTATCACGTTGAGGTTAGCTACGCCGGGATTCGTTTCAGCAAGTAGATATCCATATATTTAAATGGACCTTGTTGGAGCATACGTAATCCTAAAATGTAGCATCGTACTACAGATGGCGTTTATCGCGACATTTGTGGTATTTTCTAAAACGAGCTGTTAAGACAGCAGATTCCTTCGAATTATTTTATTACATAAATGGTAGTTTCTAACCATTTGGTTCCCATCAACACATCAAGTCAAACCAACCTGCTTGCTGCCATTAAACAGCCTTCTATGAATAAGCATATCTAGACAGCGTATGTAGAAATTTCCTACTTATTCTGGGATTCAACAAGGTCCTTCTCTAAATAGAGCTTAGTAGTTATGTACTAGTACTAGGCAAATTAAAAAATTTCTGTAGGATTTGTTCACTGCGATGTTTTTACTTATTTAATTGTACAGAATTTATCCCGAATTTAGTTTTAGATGTCTACTGTAATGGTTGCTTTATAAAAAGGATTATAAGTGGCGGTACAATTTAAAGCAGTTGGACTTTATTTTACGGTAAATTTTCTTTAGCGCCTGCCTGTCTAGCAGGATTCAGGCAAACCCTATCCTGTTTATTTGTTTCCTCTTTCTCTCGTTCCAGACACTTGTTGGCGGGTCAGTCACCTCAAACGAGCTGAACATTTTCCCTAGAGATGCAAAAATACAACTTCCAAACCGAACGTTGCTTTACAACGGATTTTTGTTTAGTAACTTTGGAGAGCTTTTTCAAGAATCTAGACGCGATACGTTAATGGACTTTTTATCTATCACATATAATAATCAAGCTTTATTTATAATTACCAAGCAAGCATTTTTACACTTCTTCTTTTGTTTTGATTTCGAGAAGTTTTACAAGCTACCTTCAAATTCTTAATTTAAGTTCATTAAGAAAGTTTTCAAATAAAGCTCTACAAGAACGGAAATTTAATGTCAAAATGTCAATAACCCTGATCAGTAAAGTATTGCAGGATATAACCTGGTTTACTACAAGTTAAAAACTGAATAAGCGGCTTCTCTAAGGACTAACAGGATACTTTTTTTAGTGGGACTATTGTCAGGAATTTCTCTTTGGATAAAAATACTTGCAATTATAACCTAAGGGGTGGTATAACTTAATTTTTATTTTGGTGTTATAAAAACAAGATATAAAGGGGCAGAAGATCAGTATGCTTAGATTTGCAGATGATATAGCAGTATTAGCATCTAGCAAGGAAGAGTTAGAGATAGCTGTAAATAAAATGGAAGCAGTATTGATGAAACAGTATTGTATGAAAATATATAAAGGTAAAACAAAAATACCTGTATGCAAGGAAAGAAAAAGTAGGAAAAAAGCGAATGTAAAGATAGGAGACGAAAGATAAAAAGATTAGAAGCGTTCGAAATGTGGAGTTACCGGCGTATGATGAGGATATCGTGGATAGAGAAGGTTAAAAATGAAGATGTATTAGAAAAAATAAGAGAATAGACGACTCTATGGAAGTCAATAAAAAATTGGAGAGATAGGTTGGTAGGACATCTTCTTGGGCATGAAGGTCTAGTTAGAGACACACAGATGATGATATA